TGTAAAAGACCATTAGGATTGGAGGGCGTGAATGCTTGCTACCTGTGAATGAAGTTTCATATAAAAGTATATAAATGTTAAAACGATGATATCTATACATACATATAATATATGGATATATAAACAAAACTCTTTCACAAACAATAATGAAAACCTCAGTAGTAGTCAGTAGAATAACAAAGATAGTGGCAGAAAATAATTAAGAGATGTGTCTTACGATCAGACATTTGGTTAAGGTAAGATGATTTAAAGGAATGAAATCTGGAATGTGTTAAAAATCTGCTAAATAACAGCATGCTTCTGTATGAAGCGACTGTTTAATGAACCGTGTACGAATATAATTAATATAAACTCGATGCTTTTGCCATACTTCTTTGAACTATCACAGAGATGGTATGATGCTCAAATTGTATGTAGTGATGTTTTACTTAGTAACAGTGTCCTAGAGTGGAAGAATGTGGTGCGTTGTAAACTTTCTGTACAGTGACGCATTAGTAAAGCAAACGTGGAAAATAGTTTACTTTATATTTATTGCATTTGTTATTTGGTACTTAGAAGATCCTTCACCCTCGATGTATCTGTAACTATTGAACGCAACTTGTAACATACAACTAATATTTTCTGTATTTCGTATTGGCATACTCCTTCAATGATTGGGACGGAATATTATTGTTCTATTAAAATTCTATAAATAGTTTCCATTTGATTAAAGTTCCAGAAGAAGTTTCACACGCACCCCTTCTACATAGATCAGTACAAATAAGTTTAATATAAATAATAATAAAATAATTGTTCGTCCTTACTAAGCATGTAAGGTACATCCCACTTAAACAGTAGCTGGTGTCCTACTAAAATATTGTACCTTCAGTGAACTAAGATACAAGCCAGAGTACTAAATCCTTCTGTGTATATAAATGTCATAATCTTTATGTATTGATAAATGCTATATTTAACGTCAAATTGACTCACACAACTGCCGTTACAATTAACTGTTTCTTGGATATTAGTATGGCCCAATATTCCATGCTTGAACATTTTTTTCCTTTTCGTTGAAATGACAAGAAAGTCTCACGTTGATCATTATTTACACGTTTTGCTAAGCAAACATTTTATAATTTGATTGAGCATCAGTGAAATGCTTTCGTACATAACTCGTAATTATAAGATTATTAGCAACAAAGAATTAATCATTGATGTATGAATATAAATATTCCATTCCAGAAATAATTATTGTATTCACAGCTTAAAGATGAAAAAGCAGAAATCGTCTAAATTGTTGTTTGAAATTATCATTGTTCATTCATTTTATAATTCAAATCGATATTATTTCGAACTGCCTTAGTTATCAGTAACACTTTTGTATGGTTGTGCTAAGTAATGAAAGAGATGCCTGTATATATGTATGTAATGTACGCATACAAGTGTGTACATTAATACATATGTACTTACTAATTACAAAATACATGGACGTACACATTTTCGGTCCATCTATTATTATCTTTAAGCTGCAACTATCAGTTCATATTTTATCAAGGGATATTACTCGCGTGTTTGTGTAGTTCTTTTTTGCTACATGTAAATTGTTATCTACAATGATTAAGCTGCGCTTTTACATGTGTAAACGCGATACTGTTTCAGGTAACGGTACGAAGAAAAATATTGGAATACAAAGGATTCAGCATTGAATCGGTAACTGTTTTATAAAGAATTAAGAGTAATATATTCACAAAAGGATGTGTAACGAATGACGAATATATAAATTATATAAACGTAAAAGAGAAAGAGTGCAGGAGCGATAGTGAGAAAGAGAAAGAATGGATGTTGGTGGAAGAGATGCGACAAGTCATTATATGAATGTATATGTAAAGCAGTATGGTTAGTAACAATCTTTGATTAAAAAAATATGATGTACGGTCTTGCGCCAAGAGATAAATCGTCTATTCTGACTTATCTGAATATAATATTTTTATGAAGCGAACAAAATGTTATATCTCCTTATTCTCATCTTTGTATTTCCATATTCGCCTACAAGCTTCTTATTCGAAAAAAAAAGACGAAAATAATCTGTAGTTTGTTTTTCTTCTTACAGTAAAACGTTGCGAATGGGCGGTATTTATGAAAACACTTTTATTCGTGATGGTCATGATACAGAGTATGTTTCTTATATATTTATTATTCACTGACAATCCTTGATGTTAACAGTAATTACAAACATACTTTGATATTTCCACAGCTGCAAAGTTCTTTCCCCATCTTCCATTGTTTTTCCTCATAAATAAAAGATTCCAATAATATTGAATAAAAAAAGTAGGTAGAAAATAATATTACAAACAGCATGGTGAATCAAATAGAATTCCATTGAGGGAGCATTCTTATATTATTTTTCTTATCAGTCACGTCATATATACAATTATTACTTTCTCTGATACTGTTGTCAATAGATTATTTTTGTTAGAAGAAATAACTTAACTGCATTGTAAACATGAGATTGGAAGTAAAATTGTGTTTCTCTTTAACTAAATTTCACAGCTTTCCAGCATGTGTACAGTCTTGATTTGAGTTTATCTGAAAATAAATAGACAATTCCTATTTTTTTTTTGTTTTCGCTACATACATTACACGAAATTATTTATTAAAATGTCTGGCTATAATAGACGCTACGTTCAAAAGATTCACCATAGCGGGAATCTGCTCACCAGTTTTCTTTTACATGTTTGTGCAATGCCAAATACAAATAATGGAAGTATAAGGCATGAATAAACATGTGAACTATTTATATGTATAAAAAATAAGTCGTAAATACTATACTTACAATATTCTTTTCTGTAATTTATTGCATATCTAGAATTATTTAGAACTTTTCTTCTTCAAGACCGTGTTTGAAAAACATGAGTACAGGCACGGATTCACCATCAATGTCACGGTATTCCATTAATCCAACAATGCCATCGATATCCATAGATTCACCGGTGAAAAATTGTAAATCTTTGAAACGACCCAAAATGTCTTTCATAACTTTATTTGTATTCGTCTTAAAAACTTCCACTTGATCGGGTGCTTTCTCCTCCAACTTTGCTACTAGTCTGATAAAACACTGATCATTAGAAAGATTACGTAACAAAAAGCAAGAAATATGTCAACAATAATTGTAATTACTTTTTCATGTAATCTTTTAGGTAGAGAGTATAAGATTTCTTATCATTGAATGCAAAAGTTTCTTGAAGTCTATGATTTAAGACAACATCAACACCGCTCTCCACTACTTCATCTGTACCTTCATCAGCTTCCTCTGCTGACGGATTAAATCCAGCAATTTCTATGTCTCCAGATTTACGAGTAACGGTCTAGTTTTAAGAAATAAATAAATATAATTATGTAATTAAGAGTTATCTAACACTTTATTCAATTATAAGTATACTATTTAATATTTTACCTTGCCATATACTTCGTACAGAACATCATCAATCAATTTTATCTTATAGGTGTCAGAGAACATCTCATCACCTGCAATGCAAAAATTGAATTAAACCAAATAAGAATCAAGCCATCATATTTTCATACGTATAACGTTCATATTTAAAACGCGTGGGTTTCTTATTGCTATATAGCATTGTCTTCAATGATCTTCTGATCAAAATGAGTCATTATAGACATATGGAGAGGTTATAAATGAGAATGTTAAATATTTAATTAATGAAATTATATATTATGAATTAAGTTGCATGGGTACGATACATCGTTACATTTCAAATAATTACAAAGGCGTAAAAAAAATGTATTATGAATATCACTATCAGAATATCATTGCTTGGAACAGAAATGTCACTACGATCTGGATTTGAATGAAACTCAATTGATTTATTCTTTTATATAACAAATAATTTAAAAAATATTAATTAAATATGTTACATAAAGATATGCTACATAAACTTACCGGTGAAAATATCTTTGTAGATTCTCATGGTGGAAGATGGAGAAAGATTTAATTACAGCTAAACTAAATAAGACACAGTCACCCCGACAGAGCGAACCGGAAGGGAACGAAAGTAGTCAGATATGTAGCCAACTTCACTGCAAGCTCATACCAACATCTTAAAACCAAAATAATTACATACTAAACTAAAAAATTTTATACACTTTTAATGTTCATGATTTTTAAATAATTTTACTTATTTCAGCTATAATAATTATAGCCTCCAAACATTTATGTAATTATTGCAAGTTTTCTGTAAAAAAAATTACAAAAAAATAGATCCCGTTTATTAAATGTTTATATTTATTACATTAAACACAAACGACGTTAATTTGTTGAATTTTATTATAATTTCTACTTTTTTATATTTTTTATAGTCTAATAAAGTATAATATATTATAATAGAATTGTGTAATTATTATTTGAAAACAATGAAATAAAATCAAACATGAGTACTTTTTTTATTTACAACAGTAAACGAAGTTATAAAATATTGTGTTTGAATCATAGATGTATTTAAAATTCGGATTCATTTCCGGATCTAACTTATGAATGGCTACATTTACAGTTATTCATAATTTCTTCAAATTCGAACAAATATACGTTAGCTAAGTACAAGCGGGTAAGAATCGTTTAAACTGTGTGTTCGTTTTATAACTGTAATAAATGTTAAAATCAAAATATGTTCGATTATTGTACATTGTAAATAAATTGTAAAATTACAATTAATATTTCGTTTGAAATGCATAATACAATTATTTGCATATTTTATAGAGTATGATGTGTCGATACTTGTTAAAATTTTGTTTGTAGCCTCCACTTCCGGTTTCAGTGAACATAGGGGCACGTGTGCGTCATGCTGTTTTGTGTTTAATTATTGCATCAAAGCAATTTGAATTTATATTTTACAGAAAAGAGAAATAGTAGAGTTGTTTGAAACGTGTACCCAGTAAGAAGTCAGAAAAATGGAAAACGGAAAAGAAGAAGTTAAAACTGAGAATGCGAGTGATGCTGCAACCGATGAGGTTAAATGCGAGAAGCCGGTTTCTAAGGTCGAAGAAAATTCCATAAAAAATGAGGAAACTGAGGAGCCATCCAGTGAGCTTTTGAATAAGATAAGGAATCAAATTGAGGTACTATTTTGTAATACATTTAACAGTCAATTGAATTTGCGCGTGACTGGTTCACAGTTGCGTGTATTCTGTATACAGGGTGTTCCGAATGATTACTATCAAATAATTAAGTGTAAATTTATCCTATTGATTTAGCAAGCAAAATTATTAGAATTAGTGTATTATATACTCATCAACAATTATTTACAATGATTAAAATTACAATTATTTTTATTTTTAGTTTTACTTTGGAGATGTTAATATGCAAAGAGATAAATTTCTTATTGAACAAACGAAATTGGACGATGGCTGGGTACCAATGTCTATTATGTTGAATTTTAAAATGCTAGCTTCTATGAGTACAGATACTGATGTGATATTGAAAGCTTTAGAATCTAGTGAACTCATAGAAATAGCAGAGGACAAAAAAAAGATTCGTCGTTCACCGAAACACCCCCTACCTGTTTATAATGAAGAATATAGAAAAGCACAAGAAGCTAGAACAGCTTATATAAAAGGGTTTCCATTAAACGATACAAATATTGAGAAACTTAAAAACTTCTTCAACGATTTTGAATCATTTGAAAATATTATTGTAAGTATCTACATTTCAAATATTCTGTGACTAACCTTGGAGAAAGTTGGTGCAAAATTGTTTAGATTTTCAGACAATTTTCTTGTTTGCTAGATGAGAAAATATATTGATGCGGATAAGAAATTACAGTTCAAAGGATCTATCTTTGTACAGTTCAAGACATTAGAAGATGCAAAAGCTTTTATGGCTAGAGACTCTGTGAAATATGGTGATACTGAATTAATTAGGAAGTGGTCGTAAGTTTAAAAAATTATTTCGTCAAGTATATTGTATCTACTATTATTCTTCACTTGTAATTAGATACATACGATTTTAAATTTCAGAGCAGATTACAGCGTAGAAAAAGCGAAAGAGAAGGAAGAGAGAAAACAGAAGAGATCTGAACAAAAAGCCAAAAAAAATGATACTGTTAGTAAGAAAACAATTATTTTACGTATATATGAAATATTTATTCCCTAATTTATTATAGTATTAATTCTTTTCAGGGAAAAGAGAAGGATAATGAGGAAAGTGGAGAAGAAAATGAAAAGGAGTCAGCTTTACCTAAAGGTTGTGTAATTCATTTTTCTGATGTACCTGATAAATGCACAAGAGAGGACATCAAAGAACGTCTGGGTGAACTTCAAGCCAGTATTGCATTCGTTGATTTTAAGATGGGGGACAAAGAAGGTTGGGTTCGCCTACAAGGCGAGAATTCTGCAAAAACTGTAGTTGATAAAATGGAAAACAACAAAGTGAGTATTCTAAACGATTGTCCATAAATTGAAACAAATTCATAATATATTAATATTCATTTAATTTGCCTTCCCCAAAAGGTAACGATTCGTGACAAAGACGTTGCTTGCCGAATACTTGAAGGCGAGGAAGAGGAGAAATACCTTGCAAAAGCGAAAGAAGAAATGACGAATTCCAGGCAAAAGTACAATAAAGGAAAACGTGCAGGCAAAAAGGGTAAAGTTATTGCGAACTATTTGAAATAATATTTTACAGATTCAATAATAAAAATTTCAAACGAAATTTTCTTTAATTACATAATGATGCTTTGCCATGCTAATACTGAGGGATTATCTGGATCTCGCTGAGTTGAATTCTCATATTTACTGAATGTTTAATAAACCAATGTTTTTTTTGTTTGTTCCTCGTTAAAACGTAACAGGTATTTGATTTACGAAACATATTTTTCAGGTCGTAATGTACAACGGGGTCAGAGAAAGAGGCGTAGCAGTGAAACTAATGACGAAGTACCAGCTAAGAAAGCGAATGTCGAATGAAATAAATCTAGATAATAATGACAAGTTAAACAAATTCCACACTTTCTCTGCTATGTATATTAATCCTATTTTTATTATGTGGAAAGACACAGACACATGTATAGTTCGTAAAACATAGAACGTTACACTGCTACAAACTCAAAGTAGTCATCTACTTTATGCGCATATTTTTTTGTTAGATGTCAGCAGTGTGTATATTATTTAAGAGATAAAAATACGACACTGTTTATATTTGTAAGCTGTTTTATTTCATTATTGTGAGAACCTAATGAATGAATGCACATGGTACCTGCGGCGCGATATAATTACCTTTATCACGAAGAATCGTGAAATTTCCCATATACGTTGATTTTAGATAACTATAATATACGGTGAAGAAGCCGTGTTCGTTGATTCGTTAGCATATGGTAAGCTTATCTTTCTATATGTATAATTTTTCATACCCTTGTTAATATATTCCGAACCCAAAATAATAGTCAAAATTTCAGACAAAGAAAGAAAGTAATATTAATTTTATATTTATCTGATAATTCGACGTTCTTTTCATTAGGTATACAGATCAATGATAGAGATCGCGAATAAAAAGTAAAATAATGAAGAGAGATAAAAGTGTTAACAAAATTCTCGCCTTTTTAAAATAATGAAAAATATGATTTTTAGAAAGACTTCATTTAAAATAAATCAGTTATTAACAATTCTTATGAATAAAATGTCTTCTAATAGGCAATGTTTAAGGTTTTCCTTATAGTTTGAAAAATATGTTTAAATTAAAATTTACTTCTATTATTATTATTATAATTACAATACATCGTAATAAGAATTAAATTTATTTATGTTGATCGAAATTTTAATTGATAGTTCCATGTAATTTTAATAGTATATACGATCTTCTGAAAGCATTGTTCCAATAATTCTGAAAGACAAATCTATTATAACTACGATAACAAATTGTTAAATAATGCTCTATAATTTATTTCTTATTTTATCCGTACAATGATTATCGTAGTTCAACGACTTATGTATATATTAATTTTTTTATAGCAGAACTTTTGATAGGCAGTGTATATCTATCCTGTACACTCAGATTGCAGTTTTGCTTTATACAATATGTAGGAAGTAGAGATATAAAAACACGTAATGAAAACAATTTCATTAGAAGTAATAGTATATACAATAATTACAATGTACTTTGAGTAAAGTGACTTAATGATTCTATTAAATAGATTTTCTAGAAATAGTACATCAGTGTTCGAAGGACCTGAAAGTTGTAGATGTCTTGCTGTCTTGATTTTTTGTGTTACTGAAGTCAGTAGAATGAAAAGGCAACTGTCATTACGATAGCGAGAAAAACCTGCAATATACAATGATTGTGTGAAACACTGAAATACTTTGCTTTCGTCGAATTGTAAGGAAATGTAAAAAAGGATATTTAAAATGTCTAAAATCAAATTAACGTTTTACGAAGCTAATTGTATTTAAAGGTATAAAAAATGAAAATACTATTAACGGATTAAATAAGGAGGAAAATAAAAATGTAGCATGTACAAGCTTGTATAAAGCAACATTTTTTTACAAATGTCCACTGAAATGTATTGTGACAGTCAATTTAAAATAATATTAACATTTTGCCTTAACCAATCGCACTTACAATTTAAGAATTAGTTTATGAAGATATACACATACATGTATAATTAGAATAAGAAAAATTTAACAGCTTTACATTAGATGCATGTAAAAAATGTTTATATAACGATATACGTGATTGTATTTCTCGATTCATTTTGTAACAGAAATATCATTACTAAATTCATATCAAATACTGTAAAACTGTAATAGTAAATTGCAGTCTTTTATATTAATTGTAAGAGGGCAGTCTTCATGTGGTATAAACGAATACTGTAAGAACGAACTTGTTTCATCAAGCTCTTCCCATTTTAGCACGATAATATTCTTTTATATTATTATAACATTACGTTCCACAGCATAAAAATCATTCATTCCCCTTTTATTTGTAAAAATATGAAAAATTATATTTTCTTTTTCAGATGCCTAGATCTTTGTTTAAGTAGTCGTATAGATTTGTAGACTAGAACTTACAAGCAAACAATGATAATTTTACTTCTAATCCTTTTTAGATATCCTAGAAGTAAAGTTAAATCATATATACTTTGTGCGTGTTAAAGCGCTTCCTCCTTTCGTTGGATCCATCATACGATCCCAGTTGGTGTGGCCAACGACGAATCCTACAGCACGCATTTTCTCCTGTTCTTTCCGTTCTTCTAAGTCTGCCCATCTTACCTGTAACATTTTCAAGTTAATACGTTAACAGATATTTAATATATTATTCGAAACTTAAAAATTTACTTACGCGTTTTTTACCAGAAGTATCCTCCATATTATAGTAATCAGGAACCTGAAGAAAGTCTTTCATTGTTTGAACTTTTCCTTCATTCTTTTTCTTCGCGAGACCATCTAAACGATCTGCATTACATATGTATATAATTATTATACAACAAAATACTTCCGTCAAAAAAGTGTTCAAACGCTATACAATATGTGATAGCTTACCTAATTTATCTTCCGCTTCCATGCGTTCCCACTTGCTTACTCCCTGAAAATGATAATTGTAACAATTAGCAACAATTCGTCTAAACATGCGCGTTAAATATGGAGAAAAACTCACAACACCATCTTGAACATCCTCTTGACTATCTTGACTATCCTCGTTTTGTTGTGATACTTTTTCTTGTGTTTCTTCACTATCTTCCATATGAACCTAGGAGAAGAAGGTATAAAGTGAAGTTCTTTTATGATTATTACTATCTAGATCAAACATTACTTTGTACACTTACCTCTTCAATTGCTTGTTCTTGCAACATTGAATTAACATCTAGTTTTTGATGGTAACTTGGCGTTGGTTCAAAATAGTCTATAATCCTGTTTATTTCGTCTTCCGTGCGATTATGAATGTTCCTTTTTAAACAGATTTGTAAGTCCATTTCCATTTCGCATACATACACCTAGAAACGAATACATATGAAACACCAATCTTTAAAGGCGACCTACTTCTATTGTAATGGAACTTACTTTGAAACCTTTAGTTTTAGCAAAGCTCCACATTTCTTCGTAGTCAGAGATTTTTTCGTTAATACAGTCAAGTATTATAAAGTTAAAGAAACCGTCGGTAATATTTTTCTTAAATGCCTTTACCAACGATATCACATAACTTTGCTCCATTGCTTCTTCATATTCATAGACCATTTCCTATAGCATTCATCAAAGTATAAATAAAGTGTTTATATTCAATCAAATGAAATTGATTTCAACAAGAAACTGTACCTTGACGATCACTTTCTTGCCATTATCATCGGTAGATTCTATTTCTTTCTCAACTAAGAAGTAGTCATCTAGGCTTAAAATCCTTGGTGCAGAGCCTCCTTGTTCTACTTCTTTGTCCTACAAAAATAGAAATAATGAATTCCTGACGCGAATACGATGGACATAAAAATAAATGTTATTGCACATATTTATAATACGAATTTACCTTAATCAGTTTCGCAACAAACGATTTCCCACTGCCTGGAGGACCCCTTAAGATAATGGCCATTTTTGGTGGTCTATTCTGGCGACCAGGAGTACACAGTAAGTCATCCACCATTGTGCAGTTTGGCGTTTTCGCCAACTCCAAAGTCTTTGGTGCAGGTTCCACCACATTGTGTTGGGCATCTGTAACACTGCAACGCATAATTTGAATTTACCAAAAGATCTTAACGATCCACTTATTAATTGTAAATATATCATTCAACAAAATATAATAGATTTCTCATACAACATAAAATAAACAAAATCAGCAATGAAATGTAAATGATCATGAGTATGTAATAATTTATATATTTAATGTACTTCTGAAATTGATAATATACCTTCTAGTTTGGACATAAATAAAAACTTTGCACAAGGTATTAAGACGTTGAACGCATTTAAACCATTGCAGAGGAAATGAAAATGCTTTTTTGAAGCAATTGTTGGTGGTAGCAATAATGGTATGAAACGCCTGAAGATGGTGTTTTTCCACGTTACCTACGCTTAAATAAAGAAAGCTTAAACTACAAGAAATATATTTGCACATAATACAAATATATATAAAAATGAAACATGTTTGTATTATGTCGCTACACATTTCGTGTGTTTAAGTTCGAGCTTCCGAATGATCTAAGGATGACAAAAATGTCATTAATTTGTAAAAATACAGAATCATTAAAGTATATACATATGAAAATAACAAATCCTTAGAGTGTTCTAACTAATTAGTATAATTGCATCGACTATGCAATCGTACATGTAAACATGTAAATTCAGTACGTAACGAAAACCAGTGGTCTTCAAAAATATTTATTATGTGTCAACACTGACACTACAGAGGCAAGCACAATGCGCTTGTGTATTTTAGCAGACTGAAGACAGAGCATGAGTTTGCATAAACAAGTCTTCATACTTTATGCAAAATGCAATGTTTGTCTTAAATAATCTATAAATGGATACCAATGTCGTAACTCGAACCCGCGTAAAAACACAAAAGTTGTAAAAGCATTTATTTTACAATGTTTCAAAAGGACTAAACCATTTAAGGCGCAGTTTAATAATTGGTGCCACATACCTGGTATCTGGTGGCTTTGTCTCAACGATGTTCTTGTTCGAGTTCTCCTGCCAGTTTATATTCCCTTTCGATCTAAAGAAAGTTATATATATATTTTCAAACGAATTTTCTTTTACATATTCACATAACTCGTTATTATTTATGTACAATATGTTCATACATAAGTGATAAAATTCACTGGTACTATACCTGTCCTCGTCTTTGTTTTCTTTATTTGTTTCCTTTTGGCTCGATTCATTTCTTTCCCGTGTTCTTTCTACATTTCAGAAAAAGCAATAGTCAACGTAAATACGGATACTTATGTTCTCATAAGTCTGATTAAATTTGAGTAATTTTTGTTCAGAATAAATCACTACAGGAATACCATAATACTCAAATTAGGAAATCTCAAACTACAAATTACCTTTATTAGCTTTTTTATCGTATCGCTTATCCTGATCTTTGTTAGATACATGATCAAATGTTCTATCATCTCTATCTTTTGCCTTGTAGTCTTCTTTCTCCCTATGCTCTCTTTCAGACTTTTTATCTTCCATATACTCTTCGCTGTTTCTTCTGTGACCATAATCTCCTGATCTTCTATTATCCGGTTTAACCGAATAATGCTCGTATCTTCTTATTTTCTCTGTATATTCTTTCAAGTTCTGTTCACTCTCTTCCCAATTTCTAAAATCTTTTTTCGGGTGTACTTCACGCTCTGGTACCAGTGGTTTCAAGTTACCGTGTCCATAATCGAAGCACTGTACAGGAGTTAAGTGATCCTGAATCGATGAACGAGAAGTGTGAGCATAATCAATTACTTTAGCAGGTATATGTTCAATGAATTTTTTATCAGTAGCAGCCCCACCATGATTATAATTAAATTGTTTCTCTATACAAAATTCTTTAACAGGTGTACATCTAACCTGAGATTGTCGACTATCCATCGACCGTTTTGCATACATACTAGGACTATTGAACTTTGAGTATTCAGAGCTCGAAGACGTCTCCCCAATTGTTAATTCGCTCATAGTCTTGTCTGTCCTCATCTCTGGTATATTACATTTGATTGCATCTAAAGGAGATCTTCTTTCTAGATTATTTATTACGCACTGATTAAATGGTTCATTTTGACTAAGCACAGCTTTCTCGTTATAGTCAAACTCTTGTCCAGATCTCTGGTCGACATCACTTAAACTATTTTTAGGATATGATTGCTTCCACCCTGTACTTTGCGTATCATTAGTATGAAACTTCCCCTGTTGGGCGGTTTGTTCCATCTGTATTTGATCCTTACATTCAAACAATCCTCCATTACCACTGACTTCTGAGTTTTCCCTACTCTTGAGACCCATATTATTAATTCCTTTGACATCAAACTGTCTGTCTCGAGTAGTGAACAAATCATTTGAACCATCTGTTGGACCTTGCGATGGAAAAAACGTGTCGTTTCCACTTTGTGGTACGAAAGTTCCATCGGCAGGAGTGTCAAATGGTTTCTCATTGAATCGATTGGGAAACGGTCCTTCGGTTGTACCTTTTAAACCACTCGGACTTCGCTGGTACGGACCCTCGTTGCGACGTGAACCAAATAACGTATCGCTTGGACCTGAGAATTTAAATTGCCCATCATTCGGTCCTCTAGGAGTGAACTGCATATTGTTAAGACTCCGATTATCAAAAGACACATCATTTGGTCTGCTAGGACCAAACTGTCTATTAGACCCTTGAGGTCCAAACTGTCCGTCATTAGGTCCTCTGAGACTAAACTGACCTTCATTAGGTCTTCTTTGTCCAAATTGTCCTTCGTATCTGGGACCAAACTGTCCAATATTAGAACCTCTGGGTCCAAACTGTCCGCTATTGGAGCCTCTTGGCCCAAATGGTCCATCACCAGGACCTCTTGGTCCGAATGGTCCATCATTGGGGCCTCTTGGTCCAAACGGCCCGTCATTAGGGCCTCTTGGTCCAAATGATCCATCATTGGGACCTCTTGGTCCAAATGGTCCATCGTTGGGACCTCTCGGTCCAAACGGCCCGTCATTGGGGCCTCTTGGTCCAAACGGTCCATCACCAGGACCTCTTGGTCCAAATGGTCCATCGTTGAGACCTCTTGGACCGAACTGACCATCATTTGGTCCTCTTGGACGGAACTGTGCGTCACTAAGTCCCCTTGAAGTAAATTGTCCATCGTTAGGACCTCGTGGATCGAACTGTCCAATATTAGGTCCTCGTGGACCGAATTGTCCATCAGTAGGACCTCGCGGTCCTAATGAATATGAATTCGGACCAACAGGATTGAACGGCATTGGACCTCTGGGCTCAAACATAGGGAATCTATTGTCACCAGGAGCTCTAGGTCCAAAGAAAGGTGTATTTGGTCTAAACTGCATTCCTCTTGGACCAAATGCAGGATCAAAATTGTCTCTAGAGGTAGAACATTCTGGATTGTTTAAGAAAGGCTGCGAGGAAGACTCCTTTATATCATGTACCTCATCTGTCCTCCGTAGAGGATCGGTACTTTCAATAGTGTCTGTCGTAAGGGGTCCTAAATTCGGAAATTCTGGGGGAGGTTCCATATTTAAGTCTTCGGGTTTTGGATCATTTTCTCCCATGAAGGGCAATACTTCAGATTTTTTGGTTGCACTATTATCATCGTTGGATAAGTCTTGATTAGGTTCTACCGTTTCAGTTGTCACATTCTGAGTACCTTGTTCTAAAGCAATGTAATTGGTAGATGAATTATCTCCATCCTTAAGAGTATTAGAATCTTTTTGCACATTACCTTCAGGAAACTGACCCTCGGTCCATGGTATTTTCTCCAATAATGGAATCTCAGCAGTTTGCACTGGGTAATTGTCAGGACCATTATTGTGGGCAGTATCGATATTTTGTTCAGTAGATTGAGCATTTGCCAGATCAGGTTGGTTCTCTCCACTAACAAGTTCATTATTATCTTTAATCATGCCTGGGTCAGTCACTAGACTTAAAACGTCTGGTCTTGATTCTATGCTAATGTCTTGCATTTGCTGTGGACTAGAATTAGGTCCTCTCAGTGGAACACCGTCTCTTAAGTCAAATGAACTATTGCGACCAAGACCTGCAGGACCTCGTGGTCCAAAGTCAGAATTTCCTTGAGCTTTGAAATCCATAGGCATTCTAAAGTTACCAGGACCTGGACCACGGGGACCAAAATTATTAATCCCAGAGTTTTTCACAAATGGAGACTCGCCAGTTATCTTCTTAAAACTCTCGCTCAATGAACCAACGTTACTACTTTTATCAGAGTCTAGATAACTTGGTCTGAAGACGTCCATTGCAGCTCGCCGTTTTTCCATAAGTTTCTTCAATTCTGGTGCTAATTTATCTGACGGTTCGAATTGATTATTTCTATTAAAGCCACGAGGAGCATTCGAAAAGCTATCCCGTCTATCTCCTATATCTTTTTGATCGAAACGATCCAAATTATTTCTATTGAATCTATCACCCGTTGGACTATACGGTTCATTGTTGGAGCTGAACCTATCACTTATTCCAAAACGTTCATTAGCAGGTTCAGCTCCTTGTCCACTTCTTTCAGTTGGCAGTCCAAATCTTTCATTTGCAAATCTATTATCTCCAGGTCCGGAACGATCGTTTCCTAAACTGAATCGATCATTTGGACCAAAACGATTGTTCCCTGGTCCAAAACGATCATTTCCAGGAACAAATCTTTCATTGTTGAAATTCATCTTCTGTTGGCCGAACTGATTATTTCCGTGTTCCTGAAAATTTCTATCTTCTCTTCTAAACTGATCATTTTCAGACAGTCGTTCATCATTAAATTTATAGTTCTCGTTTCGTTGACCGTATACGTCATTAGGTCGAAACTGGTTACTCTGTTTGTCAATAATACCATCTCGACTAAAGCGATCTGACAATGTGCCATCTTTCTGTCGATTAGAATCATTATTACCAAAACTATTCGAATGACTCATCGAGTCAAAGTTATTCATGGGACCAGCTTGTCCTAGACGCTCGACAGCATGATTTCCATCGGGACCATTTAAATTTGGACCGTATGGCAGAGGTCTTCCTTGTATATTTGGTGGAACTGGCGGTCGTATATTAGAGTTTTGTCTATCAGTGCCAACAAAACCAGGTGGTGGCTGAGAGAAGTTTGGAACATTAGGAAAGTTTGGTGGTGGCTGTGTAAAATTTGGTGGAGGCATCTGCGTGGGTGGTGTACCAAAAGGTGGTGGAGGCACACCGGTCATGGATTGAAAGTTGGAGAAGCCTGGTATGTTTACTCCTGTGTTATACTGCTGTGCCCATTGCTGGGAACTCCAAGGGGATGAAGTCATTGCGTTAGAAGACACCATGTTCGTAGCTGGTAATTGAGATGTTGACAACTGCGATGTTCCTTGAGGGGTGGGTGCCATGGTAGATGTTTGAACGGTGGATGTTGCAGTCTCTGTAGCTGGTGGCGGTGGCGGCGGTGGAGGTACGTTAGCATTTTGTTTCCCGGTTAAACCAAGAGTTTTTCCAATGCCTAATAAATTGTTGATCAATCCTTGATTCTCTGTACTCGACAGAATATTCATTATTTTATCATCACCAGGTAAGCTCTTATTCTTCTCGACTTCTGCTTTAACAGCGGCTTGCTTCTGTTGTTCGCGTTTTTTACGCATTTGTTCGCGTCGCTCAATAAGCTTCTCTCGCCAGGACGTCCACTTTGCTTCATATTGTTTGTATTGGGTCTATAATAGGAAATGATACCTCTTTTGGAAAAATTAGAGCTAGCACTATTTTATTCTTAGTATTTGTAATAAAGATTTTGAACTGTAATGAATAACACATAATCGTAATATATTACTTACCTTATCTGGATGATTTGCATTTTGCTCTTTCCACTTATTAAATTGCTCCTCCCACTGTTTAAACTGAGCGTCAAACGTTTTCTCAGCCTCGGTTAACTCTTCGTCTTCAACTTTTAACTTTTTAGCACTATTGGATTCACTAACGCTACTACTACCGCGTTTACCGGTTAATGTACTTTCTTTACTACTATTACTACTTTCAGGAGGCAACGGTGGCTGATTAGGGGGCAGAGGGGGATTTTGGGGGCAGTTTTGTACACTAGTTTGCACCGTGGCACTCGTATTTTGCTTAACAGGAAATAATGGAAGATTATTTTGATGCGGTGGGGGCATGCTTGTAAACTGATATGTGTTCATTGTGGTTGGGGGTAATGGTGGCTTTGCATCCTCTTTCGGAAGAGGTGGTGGAGGTTGTATAATTGGTAACTGAGACACCTGTGTAGCCAGGCTCATGTTCTGGGCAGACATGTGCTTCATAGTTTCCTGATACTGAAACAAAATTGAATTAATAAATCTACGAATCGGTATGATATAGTTTAATAGCTGATAACTTGAAAATGAAATTAATATTTATGTTCTAATACCAATAATAATTGTAATTTAATTTTTTATCAAACATGAAATACAGTTGTTCAGGAATTAGTTTTCTGTTAATTGCAAATTTATCTCATAGTATCTAATAAAATATAAATCTTCCATGTACCTTTTCTCCATACTGAGCCTGCCATTGTTGATATTGTTGTTGCCATTGCTGCCATTGAGCCCAATTTTGTTGTTGTGCTGCAGCCCATTGTTCTGCTGTATATCCACTGGGTGCCTAATAATAAAATATGATACTTTCACTGCCTATACTATCAATGACAGTATAGTTGTTTTATTCAGTAACAAAATAATTAATATTTCACATTATTAATCTTCAATTTTGTGAATTATAGATTATGAAATTTATGACAATATAATTAATCAAAACTCGGAAATATTACTAGAACAATGGAACTTAATACACAGAAATGTAAGTATGTACATTATATAGGTAGATTTCTAATAAAATACTTACCGGCTGACTATAATACTGCATGTAAGCTTGCATCATAGCCATCGGATCTGCTCCAGGCGCAGCATAACCAACTGGTGGTTGTGGCATTGGAGTGGCAACAGCACCAGCTGACAATTGCCATTGGTTCCAATTTTGCATTTTTAAACCCTCTCTCTAGCAAATCGTTTGCTAGTGCATTCCAAACTGTTTTAAGGGCCGCAGTCCGTTTGGACGCTATTTTGTATTCAAAGAAAATTGTTATACAGTTACTGCCACACATGTACATGATTAATAGTAAATATCCCTATCAGTTTATGTATTTTTGCTTTCATGGTACAGCCACCAATCATACATACGTTTTAATATAATTAACGTAAAAGTATCTGCAAGATTTATAAGTACGGAGGCCACTTTAGAAAGAAAGTTGAAACGATATACCTGAAATATTTTATACATCCGCATTATATTATCTAAGTAATAACTTCAGAAAAAATTCATCTTAAATTTATAATTATTGGTACAGAGTCAACCAATTATTATATTAGCAGAATAAAGAATACTATGTAAAAAATATTATTCTCTTATTCTATAATAGTTCATACAAAATGAAGTACATATTATTAAATAATTTATTATTAATTAACTCATTATTAAATCAGATAATGTAGGATATATTTTATATACAATTAACATAAAAATATGTTAGATTGGATCACCACTCTGAATCAGCAATTAATACTATAATATAGCAGTAAAATATTTTAAATTATAAAGTACAAGTTTTGATATAAAAGTACTTGTATATAATTATTATAAAAAGAGAATCATAAATGCAAACATCTTTCACTCATTCTCAGAAAAAGAAAAAAAGCAATGAATAATTATCCCATATTCTTGAAAAAAAGATTTAATATTGCACTAAAAATGAGTGTATACAAATCTTTTTTACAAGACTGTAAACTAAATATTCATTAAATTTTATTTCTCTCTCTCTGTTAAAAAGAAGCAAAGATTTTTCAAAATTAAAAGCAAACAAAACGTTAACAATTAAATGGATATAATGGTTGAAAATATAATTACTTCATTATCCAACAAATTAATCCAAGGCATTTTAGCAAAGTCATCTATTAGACAAATATTATGCCAAACATAATTATAATTACATTGTTCTAATAGATTGAACTATCAATTTGCTGGAAAATAAAGAACATTATTCGCATTAAAATGATTGTATGTATGCAGTTGACAAAAGCTTACACAAAAATATAATAAAATAGTATTAGCAAAAACCATTTTGAATAATATATCTGGAAATATAAAATATGTATAATTGGTATATGTGCATTATCATTAAAATGTATGACAGGAGTTATAAGGAAGTTTAACTATATAATAATAACATATACAATATAGATTTTTCATTGTATTAAAAATATATTATTTGTCGCGTATGTAACATAAAAAGTGTTTCATTAATAATAAAGTCAGTCACTTCCTTCAGAAGATATAAATTGAACTTAAATTATAATCAATCTTAATTTCCTATTGTAATTTCTAACATGTGATGAAAACGGTTTGCATCACATCTTTTTGTTCACTTTTATCGCATTACAATACAGACGTAGTGTACAGGAAAACTGCACTTTGTGTATAATTTTCTAATGTATTTGGAGGGCAGAAATTTCCACTGCATCAATGCATCAAGAATCAAATTGGGTCAAATAAAAACTCATTGATTTATTAATGCAAGAAATTCAAAGGTCGGACAAGCCAAGAATCATATGAATATCCTTTGGATGATATAAATTACTAAATGTACATGAGAACTCGATGATTGAATACAATAAAGCAATATAATCTTAAGAATATACGGTGACAAGCACTTCAACGCAATCGTCATGATTATTAGCGAGAAATAAATTGTCAATTTCGAGCAAATATAACTTTTGCTGTTAGGAGATCAACAATAAAATAAATGAAATAATGTTCTCGTTGATTTCTTATGTCAATAAAAGCGGTTTCATTATTTATTATAACATATATAATTTAAGAAGTCACGACGTCGTCAACTATTAAATGCGATCTCCCGTATCCTTCCAGAAATAAACAGGAATGAAAAATGTTACAGTAAATAGTTGGAACTTGAAAATGGTACTCACAACTGGAACTTCAGGAAGCAGCAACACTTTCGACGTAGAATTCACAAAAATCGCGGTACGTTTCACGGTAAGCACCGAAAATTGGCACGAAAACGTCGAAACTGACCGGAATGGCGGCTGATGACGGCAAACCAACTAATTCAAATTGCCAACTGCATAAAAAAAGTTTCTAGGTAATAACTAACATCAAATTTACGATTTTCAATATCATTCAAGCTTCCATATTATATATATTTTATATGAAGTTCAATATCACAATTTTGTACAATCAATTTAATGTTTAATTTTTATTCTTTAATTTTATGTTTTTGGTTTAAATGGCAACATTAGTATATATACAATTTTCATATATATTTATATATAAACCACGGGTGTTTAAATCGGTGCTTGCAGGAATTCTAGTGAGACTTCTCTCGTGAAAAGTTATCCTCTCCATACTTATTTAGACACCCTTGATCTAAGTACAATGTAATCTAGTACAGTAACTAATTATTCAATGTAAATCCTTAAAACCCACTAGTGCATTGATCCATTTTTAACAGTGTCGATATTTCAGGACGGTAAATAAAATATTACAGTGTATGGAACATCTATACCAATATTAAGTTTATGGTAGTGCTTATCGTGATTACTGTATTGTGATAGTATTTATATTTGATACGTGTTACGTTTTACATGAATTCAAATACCATAATGAAACAAATATCTATAATTGAATACATTGTTTAGTTTAATCTCAGAAAGCAACAATTTATAAAAATCTAGAGAAATGATCGATTCAATGGACAAACACTTCTTTGTTAATTTCAATAACCTAACTTAAACAGATTTGACAGGAGATCAAACAGAAGACCTATTTTTTATTCAAATTATTGAGAAGTGAAAATGAGCTCAAAAAATGAATATCGCAGGTCGATAGACGAATATAAGCCAGCTGATCCAATAAAAAGGAAGATCGGACCTTATTGGTTCTTGGCTGCTTTAAGAATTATTCTCACGTTAATTCCTCAAACGGGATATGTTCATCCTGATGAATATTTTCAGTCTATTGAAGTTGTGTCTGGTGAGTAATACAATTAATTATCAATATAAATTATTTATTATTTATAACACATTTATGAAAATATATTTTAAAATCAAGATTCAGAGTAGTTCCATTTCTAAATCTTTCAGGGGATTATTTTGATATTGATGTTCACAAACCATGGGAATTCAATTCCACATTTCCTATAAGAACTGCTTTAATACCACAAATTACTATTGGTATACCATACTCAATCTTAACAAAAGTTTCACAGTATACACTTTTCTATTTTGGTGTGTCATTAAAAACACCTTATTTTCTTGTATTACTTCCACGTTTGTTAATGTGCGGCATGTCCTTTGTATCAGACTATTGCCTATACAAAATATGCTATATGTATGGGCAAAATTACAAAATAAGACTAATCACTTATGCCAGTTCCTATATTATGCTTGTTTATGCAACTCGTACATTGTCGAATGTTGTTGAGTTGATATTAACAGCTTTATTATTGTACTATGCATCATACTGTATGGTATATTCAGAAAAGGTACAAATTTTTATTTTAGGTATATAATTAAATAAATATAATTATATATTTACCAATACATAAAAAACTCTAGGTACTCTAATTTCTAATTGATAAAGTCTATCTATTTATTGCATCTTATCAATTGGAAATTAAAACACACCTCTATGCCTTTTATGTAGTTGTAATAAGAGAAAAATAATGCAAAGGATATTTATCATTTCAGGTAGTTGTTCAAAGCGACTATCTTTCAGATAAATATGATAAAGCACAAACTGGAGTAGAAAGAGTGAAATATTACAAGCTTAAAGCTTCATTACCCCCACATTCTTTAAATCATTGCTTCAAAATTGCAACTATTACTGTAATCGGTATATTTAATAGACCAACATTTATTGCATTTGCCTTTGCCCCTATCTTCTTCTGGTTGCAAAGAGGTCTAGGTTCAAGAAGTGTAGGTTTTGTAGATTTTCACACTCGAATATTCACATTCCTGGCATGTGGAGTACCTGTCGCTGTCTTTTTTATTTTAGTTGACAGTTTTTATTTTGGTTATTTAACAATGGCAGAAATAGGTAGTCTTGATATTAGTATGAACAGCTTTGTGGTAACACCGCTTAATTTCTTGAAGTACAATGCAAATAACAAAAACCTACGAAATCACGGATTGCATCCTCATTACGTGCATTTCATAGTAAATGTACCACTTTTATTTAATGTTCTTGGAATTATCGGTCTGTTTACATTTGGAAAAATGCTACACAGGTGAATGATTTGTTACTATTATTTATAACGCATTTAATATATTTAATTGTACAATTATTAATAGGAATTAATTACTTACAGTGGCTTAAAAGCTCGTTGGTTGGAGTTACCACGTATACAAAGCGTTGTTGGTCTGATGACTGCATCTTTTATTACACCTATTTTAATGCTATCAATTTTTCCACATCAAGAACCTCGATTTATAATACCAACAGTTCTACCTCTGGTGTTTTTGTACGCGCCAAATTTAAATCAAATATCAGGAGTCGATACTGTTGCACGAATTGTTGAAAATAATGCATACAACAATAGTTCTGTACCAAAGAAAAAGTTTACTAAATTGCAAGTGTTTTGGTTCACGTGTAATATTGCATTAGCATTCTTTTATGGGTTTGCTCATCAAGGTGGCGTTCTGCCTCTAACATCTCACCTAGCTACCGAATTAAAAGCAAAACCAGAATTAACTCATATACATTTATTTACATCACATACTTACTCCTTACCAACTGCACTTTTACAATTAAGAAATACTAAGAAAACTTATTTGAGTAGTGGAAATCATAAGTATAAACTAGTTAAAGATTTTCATCTTTACGAACAGGGTTCAAAATCTATTAGTAATGTGTGTAATATTATTGCCTTAAAACTTCATGAATGTGAACAGAAATATGTTATCAAAAGGGTACCATATAGATTGTATTATGCTCTTCCTGCCACTGACATGGAAGAATTTATTTCTATTCAAAATAACACAAATCTATTTAATTACCATATTGTAAATAGATTTCATCCGCATGTTACGGTCGAGAAATTACCATTCTCATCCATTTCTAATGACATTATGCATTTAACAAATGTAAACACCGTTTCAGTGCGATTATTCATTGAAATCATGGATGACGTATTGAATGCGTTTCAACAATTTCAATTATTCTTGATACGAATAGAATATGTAATGCACGAGAAACAGAAAAGTAAACATTTTTAATTTGATTATTTATTTGTACAAAATAAAATTAATTTTCATGTATTTGCTATCAAGTTATCTCTTGGGGTTGGTACATTTGTTACAGCAACAGAATAAAGAATTAAAGAAAGAAACTAGAATATTGTGAATTTAAAAAAAATATCCTTATAAATTATAAATCGTTTGAGATCACCAAATTGGAGGTCTATAATAAATAGACGAAATAATTCTATTCTAATAGAAAGACCTAATCTATCTACAAAGATTGTTAAAAATAATTGATTATACATAATTTTGTCGGATTGAAATCATTCATAGATTTTCTAATTTTGAATCTACAATTTGATTTCTATTATAGTTATTTTCATCTTTACTATTGATTTAATCATAATTCTATATAGAAAAATAGAATACAAAGTTATTGCGACTTTCTATTTTTAGTTCGGTAAAATACGTTATTAAGAAATAGAAATCTTATGTAAATATAAAATTAAATTACAAATAATTTGATTATCTGGAAATAAAAAAGTTTATATATTTACTATTTGTTATTTACTCAAAAAGATGAGAAATATTTGTAAAATTATTCTTAAATTAACGATTTTATTAACTAATATTATTGCTGTTCTTCTTCAAAAAATTTTTGAACACAAGTTACACCAAATTTAGAACTTCTCGAGATGCTAATTTTCCCAAACATACAGTAAATAACAAATAGAGAAGCTAACAACATTTCTATTTTGTAAATCATTTACAAATGTTAAAAAATTCATATATAGTATTGGTGACCAATTCACCAACGCGTATTTGCACTTCAGTTTTCATTATATGTCCACGGCAACTCTTCATTAAATTTACTTCGATGAGCAGCGTTGCGCGCTGCAAATAATCGCTAAAAGGTAATTTAAAAATTATAGATTACGATTATTTATTAAAAAAAGTATTCTACATTTTTTCAATTCAACGGATATTGATACATGTACTCAAGTCATAACTTACTGGATTATCGATGTATGCCTCACATCTGTAACACCACACCGACAAGTCGCTAAAACTCAATGCCAATGGGTGTTTTAATTCCTCAGCATGTAAGAGACCATGTTGATTAATATTACGTGCACAATGTACGGTATAACATTGTAAACAAATCCAATTTTCAATATTGGTGTTACATTCTGCACAGGGCAAATGTACATCGATTCCTGAAGCTGGAACATCCCTGACACTATCTAGATGTGGGCACTCTCTTAAAGGTATCACTGCGAACATATCACCAGCTACCAATGCCTATTAAATTATAAAACTGTAAATGCATTTGTATTCTTTTTTAGCGGCATCTTAAACAAGAAATTATACTACTTACTTGCAAATTCTCGGATAAGTAGTCATACAAATTTCTAGCGCTACCAGTTTGAGCAACAGCTCCTTCTGTATGTTCGCCACTGCTACCTGGTTCAGAGTTATCAAAATTTTTATCAGAAATTGCTTCTTTCCCGGGTTGATTTACACATTGCCTTTTACATTCAGAAACTGAAAAATGAAAGAATCATTACTTCTTCTATAATATTCATTTCTAATTCACTGTACCTTTATCTTCACAAATATCAACAGCTGGCACTTTCATTGTTTTACTATACGTTTTCTCAGTAGTTTTCAAAATATTTTCATGAGAGGAATTCTTTATTTTAATATTCTCAACCTCGTTTTGTAATTTTAGAATTTCTTCGTCTGTCACAGAATTTTTATCAATTGAAAGTTTCAGTTCTAATTTTTCACTTTCAATTTCTTCCAGCGCTATCTTAGATTCAGATTGCTTGAAAAGCTCGTCTGCAGTTTTCATTTGTTCATTTAATTTGGTATGCTTCAATTTAGCTTTGGGTAGTATGTTTTCTTTTGGTAGAGAAACATTGAAAATTAAATTTGGCCAATACTGTTTCTGCGTTTTTAAAACGTTATTTATGGAATTAATGGCGCTAGAACATGGGATTAGACCACTTTCTAACATCGGCAAAGGGTCTCCGAGTAACGTTTTAGTACAAAGTGCCATTGCATGTGAAATTGAATTAATATTGTATCCTCCTTCGAGACTAAGAATTACACGGCCATTAGCTAATGTTGATAACCAATGTGTTAAATGACCATACATCTCTGGACTTACAAGACACCCTAGAAAAATATCAAATATTTCAATAAACCATTTAAAATGCTATAAAACATAATTTAATTGTAAAATTAGTTTATATACCTCCAAGAGGATCACCAATACAAGCATCAAAACCCGCAGAAACTAAAATCAGTTCTGGATTAAACTGATAAGCAATTGGCATTACCACTTGTTGAAACGCTGCTATATATTCAGCATCGCCCATGCCCTTCTACATATTATCGATACAAATATATACATATTAATTTTATTTTAAACTTAAAATAAATCGTCGTATAGAAATTTTCGGAAACTAACTTTATTCCATGGTACATTGACATTGAAACCTTCCCCTGCTCCAGAACCAACATTGGTATAATTAGCATTCTTAGAATTTGGGAAGAAACCTCCATTGTCATATCTATGAACAGATATATAAAGAACTCTTGAATCTTCTTCAAAAATAGACTGAGTCCCGTTACCGTGGTGTACATCCCAATCCACTATTAGCACTCTGAAAATTATAATATATAATTACTCTATGCTAAAGTATACTGAGAGCATATAGGTAAAATTATAACTACTTTGTTAAATGGTGACATTCTATGGCATATTTAGCTGCTATAGCAATATTATTGAAAATACAGAAACCACATGGCATGTCCTCCTCTGCGTGATGTCCCGGCGGTCTTATAATAGCAACACCACACTGACTTTCTCCATTTAATACACTATTCACTACTTGTAATAACGATCCAGTAGATACACGGGCACTTGTCCAAGTTTCCGAATGTAAATAGATTGAATTAAAAGACGACGCTAATTTTTTTAGTTCTTTGGCTTTTGTGTTTGCAGTGCTCTTTATTCTATCTATATAATCTTTCGAATGAGCCAATAATAATTCTTCCATCGTTGCACTTCGTCCCTTTTCAATAATTGTTGATAATATTTTAGATGAAACTTGGTGGCTAATGTGTTATTTTTAAATATATATATATATATATACATACCTGTTGTACATAGCATCGATCAAGAATATTGTATTCTTGAAACTTCTTGTAAATACTAATAATACGATTTGGCTTTTCTGGGTGGGTATCATCGCTTATATCACAATGCTTTAACATTCTTTCATCATAAACAATACATACTCTGTTTGGTGCTTTAGATAAACTAGTAACTAATAAGGCATAATTATTTTTATATAATTAGTATGTACATTGTACAATAAAGTTATAAACATAGTGGTGCTTACATTGTATAAGTGCATTTAATTTTGAATCGAGCATCTCAAGAACTTCTTTACTATGAACCGGGTAACAATTAGAAGTTTCATATATATCCGGTTTATCTTCAGTCCCTCTACAATAAAAACGTTGCATGTAAGTGAATATAAAAATAAAGTTATTATTAAGAAGCATTAAATTTCTTACTTGAATTCAACTAGAGGTAAATGCTGATTAATACTTTGTTCCTTATTACTTGTTGTATTATTAATACTGAAAGTATCTTGATATTGATAACATTTCCAATATGGTTTATGTGCATAAATTGTATTTAGTATTGAATCTCGTATACTGAAATAATAAAAAATGTGTATGAATTAATTTATTGTATAATACATATTCGTATATACATATTCATATTCTCACCTTAATGAAGGCAATTCAAGGTCTTCTAAAATGGGACATGGATCACTCAATAAAGCACGTAAAGTCAATGCTGCACTTTCAGCTAGTGACTTTAAATAATAACCACCCTATAAGGAACAATATACATTATATACAAGATATTTGAATGATGACAAGCATATTCAAAGTATTTTTTATACCTCCATTATAACAGCAACTTTTCCAGAAGCCAAACTCATTAGCGATGACACTAAATGAGCATAAAATGCAGGAGTCACCAACATCTCACCCTTAATACAATAATAACTAAATTAGGAAGTTAAATACACATAATCTATCGAGTATATATAAGTTCACAATCAAATTAAAAAGTATATAGGATTAAAAAAAGATCGTTAACCTTTTCATCTCCAAATGCTGAATCAAACCCAGCCGAAATAATGACAAAATCAGGATTAAACTAGGATAAAAAAATTCATTAATAACTTGCACTCATTTACCTCTGGACAGCCCAAGGCTGCATCGTAACCAGCTGACACTATTATGAGATCTGGTTGAAACTACAATGATTAAATTTATCTATTTTACATACATATAGCTTACAGAGAACTTTGCAGTTTAGCTAAGTGAGTCTAATACTCGTTTAATAAAGTCTGTTACAGTAAAGCACTACTTACCTCATAAGCCATTGGTAATAAAATTTGCTGGAATATGGCCAAATAATCTGCATTAGTCATACCAACTTTATTGAGCGGTACATTAAAATTGTATCCTTGGCCTAAGTCATTTCCGACAAAGTGAAAATCAGACTCTCTAAGATTCGGCCAGAATATACCATTCTCGTAACGATGAATGGAGAAGTAAATAACTCTACAAAAAGTTTATATATGTAAAAGACAATTAAACTAACAATCTGAATTACTTGTAGAAATAATTTTAAACCGTGGATCATTATAAAACATTTGTTGGGTTGCTTGGCCATGATGTACATCCCAATCAACAATTAAAATTTTACTAGCCCAATTATTACTCAAGGCTTTTTCAGCAGCAATGGCAACATTATTAAAGAAACAGTATCCGCAATATTCTGATTTCATTGCATGATGACCAGGTGGTCTAAAATAAATAATAACTGTTAATTTCTTGTTCAAATTTAAATATCAAAATTCAATTACCTAATGATAGCCATCCCATTTTGAACTTCTCCTTTGCAAATGCTTTCCACTAGATTTATCGTTGAACCTGCAGCTAACAGTGATAATTTGTAGGTGGACTAAAACAATATTATGCAATTTAATATTAAAATTAATATATTATATAAACTTATTTCACATTCTATAAATGTTTGCTTACAGGGTGTACATAAATTGCATCATATTTGGATGATAATAACTCTAAGTTATGTACATCTATACATCCATCAGTGGCCTTCAAAATATCAAGTGTTTTTTGACTATGTTTTGCGAGTATTTCATTTTCTGTAGCTTGTCTTGATGCAATGAATTGGCATCTATTTATTAAACCTAATTCTTCACATCTTTGTAAAACACTTGTCAATCTAGCAGGACATTCTGGATACTTTGGATCCCAAAGACACTTATGTTCTACCATAGATCGATCAAATACCAGACCAGTTTTCTTTCTTTTTGCATTATAAGCATCTATAGCTTTCTGATATATATCGCGTACAAAAATATTATTAAATTTCTTTCCCTGCAACATTTGTCTTTGCGCTGCCTGTTTTTTAGCTGCTATCAAAGCTTCAGATGGACGAACCTAATTAACGAATAAATAATTAACTTCATAAGTAATATAATAAACATAATCACATTGTCACTAATTATGTGCATTGGGATTTTTATTTACATTAGATGCTTTTCCAGATTTTTTGGCACCCTTTTTTGCTGACATTGTATTTGTAATATTCTTATTGTCCACTTTTTTTGAATTTTCTATAACTTTTAAGAGTTGAATTTCACTATCCGCTAACTGCTTAACAGCAGCGAATAAATTCCCACTAATCACAGAATCAGACTGTAAAAGATACACAAGTAATTATTTCTATACAAAAGATAACAAATTTTTATGAAACTTGTAACTTGAGTAAACCATTAATAAAAGAGATTGATTTCTATTCTTTATATTAATTCTGTTAAGAAGTAATGTAATTAAAAAATTAATTTTGTTTCATACTTAAACCACACAGTGTTTCGTAAAAAAATATTAAATGTTGACAAATGAGACGTGGGTGACGGTACGAGACATATCCTTGTATAGATATCAGTACCCCTTCCACACCATCACGCATTGTCACGTTTAAGCTTTGCGAAAACAAGAATTATCATATTCGAATTCTGACGAAATCAAGCGGTTGTTTAATCATTAAATTGGATTCTCACCATTTGGGATTAATGAATAACCTTGAAATTTTTTATTTCTTTCACTCCACGACAAACTACTTTTATTGGCGAATCATACTATTCTGATAACTTTAATCTTTGAAAAGCCGAACAGAGTTTTCTGTACATTAGAATTTTGTTTTCATTAAGAAAACACAATTGTCTCGATGGTATTATTCATCTTACATTTAAAATTTTGCTCTCAATCCATTTCAACAAAAAAAACTGACAGCAGCCGTAACCGCAAACTGCAGTTAAAATCACAGTAATGCCATCCCACCGTCAGAAATAGAATCACAATTTCTACTACAATAAGGTTATTAGGTATTTGTGATGAACAAAAAGCTATCCGGTACATGTAATGTTTTGAGTTCCAGAAAATACGTGTCTTTCAATAATAATTAATATCTCGTTTTATTGAAATAATTGAAACGAGATATTATTACATGAAAATTTCGAAACACTATCTTATCTCTATCAAAATGTTATTTTTGTTTTTTTATTTTTTACTCACGCAAATATTTGAAACAGTGCTTCAGCCAACAATTATTAAAGTGAATAGAAATAAAGTAGCTTTTAATTCAGTTTTATAACTGATTAATCATGAAAAATTCGACGAAAAGCTACTCGTTATAATAATGAAACATTGTAAAATATCTAAACTTTTCAGAATGAATGTTGTTCCTATTAATAAAATCGACTTCATGAAAAATGATGCATACATTAAGGAAGCAATTTATAAGGCATGTTAAAACATATAGGAGTGTCAATACATGGTCTCCGCTTGCAACAGCATTCAATTCCATTACCAAACATAAACATGATCCTTGGTTTTCTAAGAAAGAATCTGTAAGTTGGATTTCTTATTGATTTAAAATAAATACTAATAAAACTGAGCATTTGAGATTTCGAATTATCTTACAGGGTTTATTTGGTATACCTGAATTAAAAAGTGCACAAGGATTTAATATTTTAAAAGATCAAGCCATGTGTCAAACAAATATGCTTATAGAAGAGGCTACAAGCCCAAACAGAAAACGTAAGATGGTCGAAATTTTTGATGAAATGTCTAATGTACTCTGCAAAGTCGCAGACTTAGCTGAATTTATTAGACTCGCACATCCAGATACAGAATTTATTATGGCTGCAGAAGATGCTTGTATATTTATCAGTGGTATAGTAGAGAAGTAAATATTGCTGTAAAATAAAAAGATTTAGATTCAACTTTACAGAAACTTGGAAACTTTTTTCCAATGATATCATTCATTGGAAGATAATATAAATGTTTAAACATTCCATCAGGTTAAATACTCATCGCGACCTATATAATGCGTTAAAACAAGTTTCACATAATGGAGACATTCTAGCAACTTCTGATGTGGATAATCATGTAGCTAAATTATTCCTCTTTGATTTTGAACAAAGTGGTATACATTTGCCTGAAGCAGAAAGACAAACAGTTGTAAAATTAAATGATTATATATTACAAGTATGTAATCGATTTTCATATATACCAGTACTTAAAACATGATATTCTCAATCAGTATTTACTTTAAATCGTATTTAAATAGTATTTAAATTTTTAAACAGCAATATATATACAATTAAGTATATTACATTTTTTGACATATAGGTAGGTCAAAAATTCATGGCAGGCATTGGCAATTCACGACCAGTATCTACTAGTATTCTTCCGGATGATCTAAAGAAACAGTAAGTAATACAATTGAACGCTGAAACTAATACTGTTTTTGTAGTTTATATTTTCTCATTAACACTAAAACTACCAGATGGGTCAAATTGACCCAGTACAGTATTTTTATTTTACAAATATTTAAATTATGAAGACATTTTAGCAAAAGATTTTAAATTAAATCTGTGGATTTGTATGGATACAAGACTAGGAGATCCTTTGAATCTCAAGAAACCTATTGTTCTAATTGTTATAAAAAATTGGAAATCACTGTAATTGCTCAGTAGTTTTAGTGTTAAGAAATTTTACAAGGTACAAGATTTGGAAAGCATCAAACTCTATTAAATACATTTCACAGTTTTATAGTACTGGGTAATAAAGTGATAACACCTGGACTTCATGTAGATTCCCCTAATAGTGTGGTTAGAGAAGCTGCATATCGTATATTTTTGTATCCAGATAAAGAACAAGAATATCTTTTACAAGAACTTTTAAACTCTAGACACGAGCTGGCTAGATTATGTGGATTTTCATCGTATGCTCACAGGTAGATCTGAAACACAAATTAATAAATTATATTAAGTAAACAATGAATATTTACCACTTATATCTGTTTCTACTTGTATAATAAATGTTTAGAGCTGTAAAGGGAAGCACAGTAGAAACACCAGAAGTGATATTTGATTTTCTTAATATTCTGAATGATAATCTGAAGCTCAAAGCGGTACAAGATTTCCAAGAGATGCAACAAATGAAAGATGCAGAGACCAACATGACAGAGGTTCGCAAGTTTAATTAAATATTACTTATTAATTAAAATTTTGTTTAATTACTTCTCCGAGTTTGCATACTTTTTGTTCAGAAAGTAATGCAATGGGACACTGCATACTTCTTAGCACAAGCGAAAAGAACTTGGTTAAATATGTCAAATGCTGAATTTATTCCATACTTTTCACTTGGTGCCTGCATGGATGGAATAAACACTTTGACTCAAGCATTATATGGTATTCGATTAGAATCCACAGAAATTTTGTCGGGTGAAGTTTGGGCGGATAATATACAAAAACTTGCTGTAATAGATGAAAACAACTCAGTGTTGGGTTACATATATTGCGATTTCTTTGAACGCAAAGGTAAACCTAATCAAGATTGCCATTTTACTATTAGGGGAGGAAAACAATTATCTGATGGAACTTATCAAGTATGAGATTTTCTTAATATAAACGAATAATTTTAGAAGATTGAATTTTATATGCGTATATTTTTTTAGAATCCTATAGCTGTATTAATGCTATCATTACCAGCACCTGGATGGGGCTTCCCATGTTTATTAAGTCCTGTTTCTGTAGAGAATTTATTTCACGAAATGGGCCATGCCTTACACTCTATGTTAGGTAGAACAAAATATCAACATGTAGCTGGAACCAGATGCAGTACCGATTTTGCAGAGGTTCCAAGTATATTAATGGAGTATTTTGCAAGTGATCCAAGAGTAAGTTATCGTTATAACAATGATAATGAAATTGTATTTTCTATAATTTCTTAATAACTAAATGTGGGTTTAGGTGGTTTGTACATTTGCACGACACTTTCAAACCGGAGAACAAATACCGGCTAATTTGGTAGAAAAGTTACATGCCTCCAGAAACATATTCTGTGCTTCTGAATTACAAAATCAAGTATGTTATAGTATGTTAGATCAAGTTTATCATAGTGGAAAATTGGAAAAATCAACTACTACCATTTTAAAAGAAATACAAGGAAAATACTTTGGGCTTCCCTATGTTGAAAATACAGTATGTATTTTATTCGATATTTAAATGATATGAAGATTCGTATTATCTATATTATAAAATTATTATAGGCATGGCATTTAAGATTTTCTCATCTAGTTGGATATGGTGCAAAATATTATGCTTATTTAATTTCTCGAGCAATCGCCTGGTGGATATGGCAAACTTATTTTCAAGCAGATCCTTTTAATCGTACAGCAGGCGATCGATATCGAAATGAATGCTTAGCACATGGAGGTGGTAAACCCTCTTCCAAATTAGTATCAGATTTTTTAAATAAGGAAGCAAGCGCTAGCAATTTTGCAAAATCTTTACTTAATGAAATCGATATAAAAACTGAACAAGTACGGAAAGTGAGAAGATGAAGTAAATTAGTAAAATGTAATATCCAAAACAAATCATTTTTATAAAAATATAGCGGATGAAAAGGTTTGATGAAAATAAATTTATAAAGAAAATAGTAAAAGTATTTAAATAATATTAATTTATGTGTTGTAAACAAAAATTTGAAATTTTTCTTATATTTTATTACAAGTACGGAAACCTTACCCTATTTACAATCTTGATAAATCTATGAATGATTACACAAAAATAAGCCTTTGAGTGTAATACAGACAAAACGCAGTATAAGGTAATTTATGAGAAGATAATAGCTGCATAGATCTAGTTTCATTTTTTGATGTGATTATAAAAATGAAATTAAATATTAAAATATAACGTAACAATATTACTATTTTATTTTATTTTATTTTATTTATAATATTTACTGATCACATTAAAATAGCTTTCTGCATGAAGTTACCATGTACTGCGTTTAAGATGCTTTTGATTTCTATTAAAACTCTCCGAGAGGACATCCATTAAAATTGTCTAATGGTTCATCAACAACATTCTTGTTTTTATACAAAATTTCATTAATGTGCTATTATAATTATTCTGACGTAAAACGGCTGAACAAACCAGTGGATGATCCATTTCTAAATTGTATCAATACCATTAAAATAGTACAT